TTGTACAAATAAAGCCACTTTCCCACCTCTAGGATGACTTAAGTCTCCATTATGATCTGGATTTTAGCTTTTCCACCCACCTGGGCTTCAGTTTCCCGCCTCTCCTCACCGTTCTCTGCAGGAAAGCCAGAAAGACCCTCTTAAGACATAAGACAAGCAAGTCACCTCTGAACTCCGAAGGCCTGAGAGAAGTATCCTCAGCCTTGCATGTTTTTGCCCATGATTTCCAGACCCTCTAACACCCCTCCCTGTACACCTTTTGCTTTCAGGGGAATTTGATGAAAAGTCCTTAGTACTTTCTCTTAATCATTCATGAAACTGGAAGGGCCTCATATTTGGCTGTTTGACTTGGCATTTGCTAGATGTTTCTGTGACTTGAAACTCCCAGAAGGAAGAGAGAAAGGTGGGAGCTGCACCTGTATTAAAGATTCAAGGCCAAATGATGACTTGTTTGAAATTGTCTTTCAAACCACAGCCAAATTATTTTGGGCTATTTTTGGTCTCTTTGAATCCCCGGCCCCGCTGTGTCTGGCTTAACATCTTTGTGACTATCAAAACCTTACACTATGGGGCTGGAGAGATGGCTCAGAGGTTAAGAGCACTAGCTGCTTTCCCAGAGGTCCCAAGTTTAATTCCCAGAAACCACGTGGTGGTTCCCAGCCATATATGAGATCTTGTGCCCTCTTCTGGCCTGCATGCATACATGCAGGCAGAACACTGTACACATAATAAATAAGTAAATAAATGAAACAAAAATAAAATAAAATCTTACACTACCATTCTTAGCAGACCACTAGTTTCCACAAACCCCAGAGCTAAGAAGGTCACTGGATAGCACCTGAAACCTACTGCTTTAACTTTCTAATTATGGTCCCTTCCAAATGACTCATTCAGTAACTTAAAACACTCATAAAACTTCTTCCAAATTGGAACATGGTATTTGGGGAAACCTGAATCTGTTTTCCTGCCCGTGATAGAGTTGAGACTTCCATCCCTGCATTAAAATCCTAGGTTTATTCCCTAAACCTGGCAGTTCTCTTCTGTCAAAATTGCATAGATGTGTGCGTTGCTGGATGGAACCTGGCATCTCGTATATAGTAGGTCTATCAGACTTTACACTGAGGTGTTTTGAGACAGGATTTCATTCTGTAGGCCAGATTGGTCTTGAACCCGCAAGGACCTCACTGTCTCCTGAGTGCTCGGATTACAGGCTCATGTAATCCTGGCCTCAGACTCTCTATATAGTTGAAAAAGACCTTGAACTTCTGATTCTGCTACCTCCACATCCCTAGAACTTGGGAGTTTGCCACAACACCCAGTTTATGAGTTGTTGGGGATGGAACCAAGAACTTCATGTCTGCTATGTCCTCAACTCCTAAGGGACACCCCAACATGCTCATACACTGATGGAATAGTATTAACAGTTTTCTATTGCCCAAGAGATAAGTCCGATGCAAAAGTCAGAAGCGTCAAGGGCAGGGGACAACGAAAATGGATCTAACAAGACTTCCTCTTGACTGTAATTCTCTAAGGAATGTGATGAGGGTTGTTTGCATAGGGCCTTGAGAGGTTCCGTGGATATGCTGAAACAGAAATGGGGCGCAGAACGACCCGAATCATTAAGCAGCAGCTACTGTTTATTGTCTCAGCTTGCAGTTTCGGGTGTGTTATCTCAGGAGAGCCTCAGAAGAGCCAATGTCTCACTCTCTATCTCCAGGTCCTGAGGACAAAACGCTTGCTTACGCAGGCTCTCCACTACACAGCTACATTATTTTGGCCACCCCTTCTCTCTGTCTCTCTTATGCCCAGGCTGAACTCCAATTCCTGCCTCAGACTCTGAAGCAGTTGTGATTTCCGGCCTGCGCTACCAAACCTAACTCGACTTTTTCAAACTTCACACGAGTTTACCAAGGACTGCGAATTCTCCGAAGACCACGGGGTAAAAGAAACGCAGAGAGGACACAAAACCGCGATTAAGCCTTGGCGCAGGCGCACTGGAACGCGCTGCGCTCTTCGCTACCCAGAATTCCTGCGGCGGTGGAGACCACTCGCTCAACAGAACGGGGGAGTCCGGGGTAGCGAGGCGGGCTGGGGGCTGGGAGTTCCCATGAGTCTTTGCTATTCTCACCCTCCTCCGTGTGAGAAGTGGTCTATTCCGGGCCCTTAAGAGTGGGGCGCACACGGGCCACAGTCTTTCTCTCTGCGGACTCTGTGAGGTTTTCTCGCTTCCTTCCTGTAGCC